CTGCCGTTCCCGGAGAGCGGCTTCCGGGTGGCGCCGCTGGCGTACGCGGGGCCGCTCGTGCTGTGCCGGAGCCACAAGTTCCACAAGCTGCCGATGCCGATCTTCAACGCCCACATGCGGCTCATGGACCTGTGGAAGCAGGACGCCGCCACGGCCACCTGGGTCAACGACCGCGAGGGGGTCATCTGGTACGGCGAGACGGCGTCTACATTCATGCGCGGCTTCGAGACCCCCAGTAAGGCGTGGTACGGGCGGTTTGGCATCCGGGTCGACGAGGCCACCTGGCACCTGCTTGCGCTCACAAACAACCCGTCGGGGCTCGGGGTCCCGGACGCGGAGCCGGTGCCGCTGGCGGACATGTTTACCAGCGAGGTGTACGGGTGCAATCTCGAGGCCGCCGCGACTGCGTGCCAGTGGTCCGACCACCGGTACAAGCTTGCCCTGAAGGAACTGGAGAGTTCTGGGACAAAGTTTCTCGCCATCAGCGAGCGTGCGTTGCCGCGGGCGAGAGCCCTGGCCCCCGACACGCCGGCGGGCGGCTGCGTCGGGACGCAGCTGTGGGAGCGCGTCCTGGCCCTGAGCACGCCGTCCATTGGCGAGACCCCCGAGTCTCTGCGGGCGGCCTTTGACACGGCGGCCTTTGTGGGGGTGTTTGCGCGCGGCCGCGCGGCCAGGAAGACCCTCGACGGCACCGCGCGGCGTTTCCTCAGACACCACTACGCCACCGTGCTGATGCCCAGCGATATCCGGTACCTGACCGGCAACCTGGCCCGGTCGATCGACACCTGGGTGGCCGGGTCCGTCGAGTACCGGGCGGACACGTCCAACGTGCATGCCGGCGTCGGCGCACTCCGAGACATCCAGACGGTCATGACGGACTACTCCACGGACCTCAACCTGGCCGTCATCAACATGTACATGCTGCGTCGGATCCTGTTCAACGGCGTGTCCAAGTACACCCTGAGCTTTGTGGGCGAGTCGCCGTACGTGGCGCGGATGAAGACGGGGATCGCCCTGATGGCCGCCAACGGGTGCCTGGACCACTGCCTCTTCCAGCTGCGTATGGTGTACCCCGAGATCACGTTCCGCTTTGTGGTGCAGTTCATGATCTCGGACAACCCCATCGTGTTTGAGGGGATGCACGTGCGCGCCGTGCACGTCACTCACGACGGCCACCAGCTCGGCCAGCACCGCATGTACGTGCTCCATCGGAAAGGGGGCTTTGATCGGGGCTCGTGCACTTGCTAGAGAGGGGAGACAAAAGTATATATAGTGTAGTCTCGGAAATCAATAAATCACTTTTACACTGCGACTTGCAAATATACATCCACGCGCGCATCCACATTGACATGCAGTACCTGATAGAGCAAGGGCTCTCTGTGGCGGAGACGGAGTGGGTCGCCGAGAACATGAACGTGCTGCTGGAGGTGCAGGCGGTGTTTGGGTGGCCGACGTCACACCCCGCGGGGCTGCCCATGTCCATCACGGACCTGCTGCACGACCCGCACTACGACATGCACTGTGTGACACCGCACACGGACTACTTTGCCCGGTTCGTGGCCCTGGCGACCCGGACGGCGTACACGAAGCTGGCGTACGACCTGCACCAAAAGTACGCGCACGTGCAGCGGGTGACGGAGAAGCAGCGGGTGAGGTTTGCGCTGTTCTTGCAAAAGTATGGTGGCCGCGAGTTCCTGGCCCGGGTGCGGCGGCTGTCGTCGTACCCGCTGACGACCAGCAACACGCCGCTCTTTAGTGCGTTTGTGCTGTCCTGCAGCGTGGTCTACGGGCTCTCGCAGGGCATGGACGTGTACGAGACTGAGCTGGCGATTCAGGAGATGCTGGGCTGGGAGGCGGACTCGGAGGCGGACTCGGAGGACACTGACTCGGACGCAGATGGATATATGGAGTAGGACATGGGGGAATGGGGAAATAGGGCACATAAAACTAAAAAATATAAAATGTAAGTCTAAAACACAAGTCTAAAACACAAGTCTAAAACACAAGTCTAAAACACAAGTCTAAAACACAAGTA